GGACGCGCAGAATCGGACCCCGGCCGCCGGAGACAGCCTTCGCTGCGCGCCGCGGACGGGAATGCCGGCGGACCGACTTCCGGTCCGTCAAGCCGGTCCAGCTCCACCTGCGCCCCGCCGCGCTTGGGTTCCGCTTTCCGGGCTGGGCGGCGGCGGGGTTTCCGGTGCGCTGTGTCCAAGCCCGGGCTCCCCGGCTTCGGCCGGGGTATGTGCGCTGGCGGCTTCCCCTGTCCCAACGGGGCCGTGGTACACGCCCCGCATGCTGCCGGGGCCTGCGCACCCCACCCAACTCCGGCACCTCATACCCCCCCGCTTCCCCACCTCCTCGACCCCGTACCACCCCGCTCCAACTCCCCGACCCCCGCTCCCCCCACCTCCCCACCCCACGCACCCCGCTCCCCCACTACCCCCTCCCTCCGTCCCTCCCTCCACCGTCGCACCCTGCCGCCCACAGCCCACCTCCTCTCTTTTTATGGCGCTTCCCCTCCACCGGCCTTAATTGGCTACTGGCTGTTGTTATCCCTTCTGACTTCGTTTCATATCCCCTCATGTTTCTATCTTCCTTATGATAAAATGTAAATTCCCTTACATTTTTCAATGAATTCCACCAAATAAAGTGATTTGTGTGTGCACGTGTGTGTTTACAGAATTATGACTTCCTAGTACTGATTTGTCTTCTCTTAAAATGTAACCACAGGTTCCTTCACCAGCATTTTTAAAGGGCCGGGTTGTTTTTCCTGAAATGAGTTTGGTGCTTAGAAATCTGCAGCGAGCCATCCCCCTCAGGAGAGCGCCACTCCGCAAGAAGATGGAGATAGTAAGGAATATTTTAGGAGTGCAGAAGTTCGACCTGGGGATCATCTGTGTTGACAACAAGAATATTCAGCACATTAATAGAGTCTACAGAGAGAGAAATATCCCAACCGACGTGCTTTCTTTTCCATTTCATGAGGTAAAAAGTATTTTCCTCGTCACCTTGTCTAGACTACTATCCAGTGTAAATTTCCTGTGTTAATTATACAATGGGTGTGATTTTTAAGTTTTATTTTGAAAACTTTCGAGTATACACAAAAGTAGATATCAACCCCTATTGATTGATGCCCATCATGGAGGTAAAAAGGCAATTGGACTCCTCCAACTCCCCCTCCCCGTCCCTCTTAATGCTGTCAGCGAATTAAGAGGTCTTCTACAATTGTAAGTGTGATTAGATAATGAATATGTATAGATTGAAAAATTTAAATAACACTGAAAATAAAAGAACAGATGGGTAAATATTTTCAACAAATATGTGAAATATAAACAAATATGCTGTGAGGTCACTACCTCCGTGAAGTAAATACCTCATTCAAGGCTTCACACATTGTTAGTAGCAACATAAATTGGAGCGACCCTCTTGGAAAGCAGTTTGTCCGTATACTTTAGGAGCGTTTAAAACATATATGTACTCTTAATCCGCTAGTGTCACACTTAAGAAAATAAATCAAAGAAGGGAAAAGATAAAATGTTAAATATATAATATTAAAATGTTTTCTCCCTAATAGGAAGAAAAAACATTAACACCCTAAATATTCATGTATAGGTGACTAGCTTAGTGTGAACAGTCCTCAACTGAACGGACTGATCTTTAAGGTGTTTATGTGGGAAAATGTGAAAGACTTTAAGACAAAATTCCAAGCAGAAAGAACAGAAATATAAAATTGTATCGATGTGGTGGTTTAACTCCGTAGAAGTTGTGGATCTGTGTGATTTTGCGCTGGGAAGGATGAAAGAAATGGAAAGGAACTCATCTGACAAGGTGGAAACATCTTAAGTCGCTTGTGTGTGGTGGCTCTGCTGAGCACCACCCCCCACCTGCCTTGGGACTAGTGAGAGGGGTCTTCCAGAGGGAAATCTGTAGGCCTGCGGTCGAGGTCGTGTTCCTGAGGTCATGTTCTCCACACCTGTATTTCCTCATTTGCAGAATCTGAAAGCAGGTGAAATTCCCCAGCCAGATTTTCCAGATGACTATAACTTGGGAGACATTTTCCTAGGAGTGGAGTATATCTTCCAGCAGTGCAAGGAAAATGAAGATTACTATGACATCCTGACTGTAAGTGGAATGCTGAACTGACAGATCCCGGTAGCGAGATAAACACCGATGTCCTTCATCCAGGCTGTGTAAAGAGGTTGTGAATGCGACACCTGCATCCACACTATCATCCACGCATAGGACGGGGGTTATTGGGGGAGACCTACAAGCAGGGACACGCCTCTCTCCCACAGAGAGAGAGGAGAGCCTAGGCCCTGGGTCTGCAGGCCCAGGGCAGTGTTGGGTGGGGAAGAGGACAGGGAACATCTATGTAACTGGGAAAACGGAAGCTCCCAGAAGTGGCCTTGTTTTAGCTTTTATCTCTGGAGATCAGCAGGCTGTGTTTAGCTAACTCAGACGTGCTGAATAACTGAACTGCCCAAAGTAGGCAGGACTCTAGCCTCCGGAACCTTCTAGATCTGTCTCTCCTCAACTTGATGCAAAAAAAAAAGGGAGTGGGGGGGATTGTTCTGAAAAACGATGTGTGTAATTGAATCATGTTTTAACTTCCCCATGGATTCAATTGAGGTGCCTTCCTTTGGCGGAACAGCTGCACCCTGAATTACCTTTGGGGGATCCTAGTGCTTCTGTGGGACTTGAAGCAGAGCTTCCAGGCCAGACCCAGTGTGAGCAGGCATTGGGGGCCTGACTGCTTCCTCGGGTGAGGGTGGGTGAGGGTGGGTGAGGGCGGGACTTCCCCGGGGGAGGAGGCTGTGCTTTCTTCCTGAGAGTGACAGGAGCCCCAGCATAGGCAGGACTGGTTGGCATGGGGTTCAGCTCTGGGACCTCTGGCAGCAGCTGTGCACCCCCAGGGTCCTGCGGGGGGCAGTCTTGGACGTCTGCTTCCACTCCCCCACACCTCCTGAATATTCTGTTACCCACACTGGAGGACCAGCCCTGCTCCTAGGACCCTCATCCCCCGGCACCCGGCCAGGCCAGGCCACTCTCCTCCCCGCTGGCTCCCAGCTGCGCGTAGGCTCCTTCCAACAGCCTGGGTGCCGTCTACCTAGCCCCGCTTATCCTCCATGTCTCCATAGCCCCCACCTTGCCGCCCCTCCCCCTGCCCCCTCCTCCCCCCCCAGGGGAGACCCTGATCTACCCACCCGTAACGGGGCCCTGGCCTACCTGCTGCTCCCTGAACTGCACCCCTCTGTCCTCACAGCCCCGCTGTGTCCTTTCTGCCCGCCCTCGCCCTCGGTGCTGCTGCCACCTGCTCCCACAGCCCCGCCTGGGCCCAGAGGCAGGTTCCTAACCTCCTCTGAGAGGTGTGGGCTACTGTCTTCCTGCCTCCTCCTCCCTTTCCCGAGCTCACGGTGTGGTCGTCTTAGCCCCTGAGGCGGCTTTTAATTGTTCTGACAGGTGACTGCCACCCATGGGCTCTGTCACCTGCTGGGCTTCACACACAGCACAGAGGCCGAGTGGCAGAAGGTAAGACCATCCCTGTCCATCAGCATGCGCAAGGGTGTGCCCTGCCGTGTGCACCAGGCACCCCCAGAAACAGGGCCACCCAACCCGTCCCTTATAGTCAAGGATGAAAACCAAAATTGGAAAAAACAGTAAAATAAGGAATTTTATAAATGCCTGCTTTATAAAAAAGACTCACAATGTTTGTTTTAAATATTGGGCTCCCCAAATGCTGTTAACTGTGCTATTTATTAACTACTGAAAGGAAAGTCTCAGCAGAGAGACTGAATTCTATAAATTCTATAAAATTCTAATGGCTTAAAGTTAAAAAATCTTTATAAAAGAAATTGTGATGATATTTATGAGTTGGAAACAGGATTTAGGACATGCAGGCGTCCGATAGGGACTATTGGGTAAAGTTATTTACCAATTTGTTTTCTCAAAGGGCCAACATTTACCCTGTTTATAAAAGTCTGCGTGGGTATATGCACCATATTGTGTTTAATAAACTCAAATTATATTTGTAATCTAACAGTCGGGTTCTCTGAAAGGCATAGAAAAACTTTTTTCATTAACAAAAAAAGTCCTTGATGCCGTTGGCCTCCCAGGGGCCCATCCTAGGCTGGGTCCACACCCTGGCTCGGCCCTGTTCCCAGTGGGATGCTGACCCCGCTGTGGCCCCTCGCTCCTCTCCTCCCTGCACTCACAGACCAGGAGAGCCTTCGATGACGTCACCTCCAGCAGGCCTGTCTTCCAGGGACTCAGCCCTCCTGGGGCCTCCCTGCCCACCCGCCCAATCCCCCCGGGAGGGAGTATCCTCACGCACCCACCCCTGTGTGTCCTGGGCCTGGCTGACCGGCGTCCCATCCTCCTGAGCCGCCCATCTGGCTCGTTCTGCAACCCGAGGCACGTTCTCCTCTCTCCTGCCTGAGACCACCACCTCAGCCCCTGCCCTCAGCCCCTCCTGCTGGCTCCGTCCTTCACCCTGAGTGACGTGTTGGCCCCCCACCGTGTGCAGGCGCTGGTGACGGTGAGCAGAACCAGACCTGCCCTTCGGCCTGTGTGGGAGGCCATGCAGCCAAGGCTCCCTCACACCACAGCCGTGAACGCGGGCCTTTGGTCGGGGCTTCCAGCAAGGGGATCCCTGGGCCGAGCCAGGGACTCTCCAGGCCTGAGTAGGCCAGGCCAGCTGGGCGAGTCCCCAATCGTTCTCCGTTCCTTTCTTTCAGATGTACCAGAAGGAGAAGCAGGTTCTCGAGGAGCTGAGCTGGCGGACCGGTACCAGGCTCCAGCCCCTGAGCAGGGGCCTCTTCTGAGGATCGAGGCCCAGGACGGCACCCTGGTATCGCAGGGTGCTCCAGAACACAGGGACACAGTGGCTGGAAGACAGACCCCTCCCTTTGGGCTCTGAGGATCAGGGACTGCCCCAAACTGAGGGCCCTGCTGGTCACTGCTGTCCTGTGGGGCTGCAGAAGTGCCAGCCCACGCTGGGGCTAAATTTCCCGAGTGGAACCTGACCAAGTACAAGAGAAATTTCCATTCATTATTTAGAACACAGCAGACGTGTTCTTTCAGTATTGTAAATAAAATAGTTCTAAACTCTCAGAATGGAGAGATGGAGCACATGAACCCCCCGCCCCCTTGGGGTCCTGCGTTTGGTACAGAGGCCCTTCCCTCTCCCCGCTCTGCAGCCCACTCTAATACGCAGCCCAGGCTGGACATTCCCCTCACCCTCCTTCCTGCTGGAGTCCCAGTGGATTTGGTTCCCGCCCAACCCTCAGGAGCACTGTAACCTGGAGCCTTCACTTGGCACCTCTATGACAGGAGGGACAAGGCTCACCCTTGGGGTGGCTGCAAGGCCAGGATGACCCCAGCCAGGTGACCCACAGTGGACGTCTCCCATCTGTGGTGTCTCCCGAGATGGGCATGGCCCCTGGTCAGGGCATTTGCCTGTAGACTGTACCTGAGTCCTCCACTGTGGCAGGGGCGTGGCCAGAGCTCTGGGGCCCCAGCTCCCCCTTACTGCCCACTGAGCTGTGTTAAGTGTCTTCTGGCTCAAGGGAGGCACCTGAGCTCCAACAGCCGCATCACATCCTCCCAGAGGAAAGCGTCCCTCCTGTCAGTATTTCCTGCCTTGTCTTCTGGGTGTTAAAATAAACCCAGGAGTCATCACAGAGCTTTGTCCAGAGCTACTCATGAGCGTGGGGTGTCATGGGTGGGAGCGGATCGTGGAGGGGCGCTGAGCCGACCCAGGGCCTCCATCACGGGGGCCTCCCAGGTCCACACACCAACCGCAGCGCAGCACAGTGCATCCCTCCAAGGAGCCCTGAAGAGGGTGCAGCAAGGAAACACGGCCTCTCAGAGGCCCTTTTTTGGCCCTAAAACCCAGGGGTGCTACGATTCTGAGAATTTGTTTCTCCCATGAATCAATTTTAGAAACAAGAAAACACATTTCCCGCTGGATTTGTGTCCTGTCTCAGCCAGGACTTTCCCTGGGCTCTCGGGGACCTGGAGTTGGGCCAGTCGTCGTCCTGAGTCACTGTTGGCCATGCACGGCCTGCTTTTGGTCAGTTAGTTAAGCTTGTTATCAGTTTAAAGTCTGACACAGCGAAGACCAAAGATAACCCCCCAAAGCTCCTGGCTCTGCAGTCCTTTCTAAGACTGAAGGGGTCCTGAGACCTATGGGTCCCATCGGTGGGTATTTCGGAGGCTCCTCCGTCTGCCGTCAGAGCCGACCCTGGTGAACCTCTGGCCACATCCAGGGCACAGGCGGGGTCCTGGGGATGGGCCTCACAGCGGAACTGCTGGGGGCCGGGGTGGGAGGTCCAGCTTTACCAGGCAACGCCTAATCCTGAAGGGCCAGCTCACCTGTCCCCCAGCAGCCTGATGCAGTGACCCCGGGGTCCAGACCCCAACTGTGCACACCCTGACCCCTCCACGTGGATGGGTGTCTGTGTGTACACTGTGGCCGTCCTGTGTCCTGTCACCAGTGACCCTCTTCATTGGCATTGCCTCCACTGTGAGGTGACTGCTCAGCCCTTAGGCCCATTTTTCTACTAGTTCTTCTTTTTTCTTACTGATTCAGAGGTGTTTTCATATATCACTGAAAACAATAGAGACTGAGCAAGTGTCCCTCTGACCTTCGGAATCTGAGAAAAGGCCGCCCACTGTCCAGTCAATGGCTGTGTCACCTGCCACCTGGCTGTGGAGCTCCGTCCTGGCTATTTCATTCCACTGGTCACTTTTGCCCACCCCTGACCTGGCCCACACTGCCCTGGCTCTGGAGCTTCCTGCAAAGCCAGTGTCTGCCAGGGCAGACCCAGTACCTTGGGCTCCTCGGCCTTCTACTCTCCTGCCTGTATTCTGGACTCAGCTCCTGAGCCGTGACGACCTGGAATCTTGGTGAGAGTTACATTAAATCTGTAGGTCAGCTGAGGATCTTAAGGCTCCAGGCCAGGCTGGCGCAGCATCTCTTGCTTCGTGGGTCTTCAATGTTTTTCAGTGAGTGTCAACGTCTTAGCACCGGTGGGCACGATGTGCCTGTAGGAGCCCCACCAGCATGGGGGCATGGCCATTAAAAGAAAACTGTTTGCTCACAACAGGAGTTAGTGCAGACCCCACAAGTTAAGGGCTCAGTCCCAAAAGACTGCTCCCCACTTCAGACCAGGGTACCCACACTTCTGTTCAACTTCAATACAAATCAGGGTTTCCACACCCCCTCCATCTGGTTCAGTAATTTGCTAGAATGGCTCACAGAATTGTGGGAAAAACTGGTTTATTATAAAGGCTACTATACAGGATACATATGAACAGCCAGATGAAGAGACACATAGGGTGAGGTTGTAACCACGGGCCCTCCAGAACCAATTCAAGTGACCCCATCTTTTATCAACAGAGTGATTAAGAATTACCTTTCAGGGGCCGGCCCAGTGGTGTAGCAGTTAAGTTCGTCTGCTCCACTGCGGCTGCCCAGGTTCAGATCCTGGGCGTGGACCAACGCACCACTTGTCAAGCCATGCTGTGGAGGCATCCCATATAAAGGAGAGGAAGATGGGCACAGGTGTTAGCCCAGGGCCAGTCTTCCTCGGCAAAAAGAGAAGGATTGGCAACAGATGTTAGCTCAGGGCTAATCTTCCTCAAAAAAAAAAAAAAGAATTGCCTTTTAGAAAATGTGCACAGTCACGTAGCCAGAGCATGTGCAGAAGAAATCTTGAACTGAAATGACCACAGAACCAAAGACCCTCCTCCTCATGGAATCCAAGGACCAGTCTGGACACAACCAGAACTTGAATGTCAGACTCTTATCAGAAGCAAGGCGTCCCTCATTCAGGAAGATCTGGTGTTAAAATTCTTTCCTCACCTCATCATAAATGTTTAGAACCCTATCATAAAAGTTGAGAACCTTATCATAAATATTTAAAACCTTACCACAAATGCTTGAAGCCCACCAATCAAAACCTGTCCCATGGGCTGGCCCCGTGGCTTAGCGGTTAAGTGCGCGCACTCCGCTGCTGGCGGCCCGGGTTCGGACCCGGGCGCGCACCGATGCACTGCTTCTCCGGCCATGCTGAGGCCGCGTCCCACATACAGCAACTAGAAGGATGTGCAGCTATGACATACAACTGTCTACTGGGGCTATGGGGGGAAAA